TAAATGTCATTTTAAATGATCAGTTGGCAGCTTGTTTGGGGTTGTTTCCCTGTTTGTGAACGAGGAAAGTTTTTAAAATACAAATGTTCTTAAAACTTATCAGTAAAGGCAGTTCCCTGGCCAGCCCTTCACATATCATCAAAGAACAGGTGATTTTTTTTTTCCTAGATCTTGTTGAGTGTGTGGTTCACACAAAGGTCTCTGTTTGATGTCTCGGAAAACCCACACATTCCAGCCAGGGCTGGCTCAGCTCCTCACGGGGAAAAACGGCATGTTCCGCAGTTCAGTGCTTTATGAGAAATAGAAGGTGCCGAGGCAGAAAAGGAGAAGCACTTTCCCTATGTGAAACGGTACTGTAGTGCCTGAAAGTCTAGAAACAGACGCGGATGAGAGAGAAAGAGGCTGTGGCAAGTGTTGGTTCCAGAAAGCCTTGGGCAGAAATCCCTGATCAACAAATACCAGTATATTTGCCCTTTTTTTTTTTTTTTTTTTTTTCTTTTTAGGGTTGGAGCGATAGCACAGTGTGTAGGGCGTTTCCCTTGCACGCAGCCAACCTGGCCAACCCAGGTTCAATTCCTCCGTCCTCTCGGAGAGCCTGGCAAGCTACCGAGAGTATCTCGCTTGCATGGCAAAGCCTGGCAAGATCCCTGTGACGTATTTGATATGCCAAACACAGTAACAAGTGTCTCAATGAAGCCGTTACTGGGCCTGCTTGAGCAAATCAATGAACAACGGGTGGACAGTGATAATGGGTCACACCCAGCGATGCTCAGGGGTTGCTCCTGGCTCCTAGCTCTGCACTCAGGAATTATTACTGGCAATGCTCAGGGATATAGGATGCTGGGAATCGAACCCCGGTCAGCTGCGTGCAAGACAAACGCCCTACCCACTCTGCTGTCTCTCCAGCCCCCTTGCCCAGTTTCATGTGGTCACTTTTTTTATTTTAACGATGCCAGGGATGGAACTCAGGACTTCACACTTGTAAAGCGTGTGCTCTGGTACACCCCCAGACCGCACATGGGCAAAAGTTCTTTCTAAGAAACTCCACGAGACAGCCACACATTTTGTTACAGTCATCTTGAGTGGCAACATACGTGACTATAGATCCTCACATATCCACTCTGGACAAGTCCGGAGGTGTCTTCAAGCCTGTGTGGGGTATCAGTGTCCCCCTTCGGCAGGGGGCACCACAGTCCCCTTTGCCCCTCCTCGCCTACTTGCGTTTTATGTGCTACTGTTTGGTTTTGCCGGATCTTTTCCAGTTAGACAAGATTATAGGAAATCTCCATGTTGCTGCCAGTTGACAAGTAGACCAAACCCTGGCCCAATCAGTCCTAGCTCAGTTTTCTATTTTTCTCTCTGTAGTAAAAAGGAAACAAAATGAAGGTTGCAGGACAAGAAGGTAGCAAAAAAAAAGGGTTAAGACGTTTTGCTTAGGGGCTAGAGTGATAGCACAGTGGGTAGGGCGTTTGCCTCACATGCAGCCGACCTGGGTTCGACGCCCAGTATCCCATATGGTCCCCCGAGCACTGCCAGGAGTAATTCCTGAGTGCATGAGCCAGGAGTAACCCCTGTGCCTCGCCAGGTGCGACCCAAAAAGAAAAGAAAAAAAAGACATTTTGCTTAGAGGAGACAGAATAATAGTAGAGCAGGTAGGGCGTTTGCCTTGCATGTGGCTGACCCAGGTTTGATCCCCAGCATCCCACATGGTCCTCTGAGCATCACCCAATGCTGAGCACAGCCCACCAAAAAAGAGAAATTTTGCTTAGAAACTCTCCATCCTATTCATCTTCTCACAAATGCCTTGAGCGAGGGCCAGGCTCTGCTGGCAGCAGTTTGGGGGCGCTGATTCTCAGGTGAGTTTTGATGTTCCAGCTCATTGCTCTCTGACACCCACCCCCTCTCCTCAGCCCACCCTGCGGCAGTGTAAAGAATCGGGGAAAGGGGTGCTGCAGTAGAAGAGACACCTAGGCCAGTGTCTGCTGTTACTCCAGGATAGAGCTGGGTTTGTGGGGCCGTGGGTTCAGTCCCCAACACTAGTCACCTGCACCCACAGAAAAGATGATCCCTGTCCTTGTGTGTAAAACATATCCAAGGGACCGAAGTGATAGTACAGTGGGGAGGGCGTTTGCCTTGCATGCGGCCGACCCAGGTTCGATTCCTGGCATCCCATATGGTGCCCTGAGCACCACCAGGGGTAATTCCTGAGTGCAGAACCAGGAGTAACCCCTGAGCATCACCTAGTATGACCCAAAAAGGGCGGGGGGGGCATTGGAAGGGTTTCAAACACAAACAGCCATGGGAAATGACTGACGGACGAAGGATCCTACAGGTTCATGGTCACTTCAAGGTGAAGATGAAGCCCTGGGCAGTCAGTATCCTGGAGACACCTCAGTTCCTGCCAGCTCCTTTGGCTATGGGGCGAGAAGGCCAAATTTCATGTGTGGACAGGAAAGTGAGTTAAATTTTGCTTTGGTGGGTTCCAACCCTCCAAACCAGCTTCTCTGAGGTTCCATATCAGGAAATGTGGCTGAGCCCAGCTGGAGGCTGGGGTTACCCCCACACACCCCAACATGTTCCTCTCAAGCTGGGCACCCAAATGAATCATACACACATACACACACATACACACACACACACACACACACACACACACACACACACACACCAAGCCTCACTCTCAGCCCGCCTGTGGAGAGAGTGCCAGCACTGTCCCCAGTGTCACGGGGTCACACGCCCGCCGTCCCAGCCAGCTTGCTGCTCTTTCCCTGGCTTTTGCCTCCCACGACGTTCTTCTGTAACCCTGCCAGAGTCGTGAGGACCCCTATACCTCGGGTCCACTGAGATCTGCCTCCGTTTCCCCCCCGTGTATGTTCCCTGGGGAAGGACGCATGTCCTCTTTGGGTCATGAATATGTCAGCTCTGAGACACCACAGCCTGAAGGGACACTCCCCTCCCGGGTGTGCCAGCCTCACCCCCTCCAAGACAGGCCTCTTCGTGTTCAAATCCAGGTTCCTCAGGCATCGTGTGAGTTCAGGGCATGTGTGTAAAGGGAGGGTTGGAAACCGCATGTGAGTTGCTCGGCACATTCGGGGCATGCATCCATCCCTCATCTGTGACCATCACCATGGTGTCTAGCAGAACTCCTGGCCCTGTAGCACCCCTGAGGACAGCCCGGCATATATATATATATATATATATATATATATATATATATATGTATATATATATATACACATATATATTTTTTTTTTATATAGCACTGTCCTCCCATTGTTCGTCGATTTGCTCGAGAGGGCACCAGTAACGCCTCCACTGTGAGACTTCTTGTTACTGTTTTTGGCATATCTAATATGTCATGGGGAGCTTGCCAGGCTCTGCCATGTGGGAGGGATACTCTTGGTAGCTTGCCAGGCTCTCCAAGAGGGACAGAGGAATTGCGTGCAAGGCAAACACCCTACCCGCTGTGCTATCGCTCATATATATATACATATATACATTTTTTTTTTCAAAAAGTAGTTTATTATAGTTGTTGCAGATAGTATTCAAACACCAACCCCACCACCGAGCACCTTCCCACCACAATTTGAGAGAAGTATGTGAAGGTTGTATTTCATTCTGGAGTCATTTAAGCCCATGGATAAGAGTATGCAAGCGAGTATGTTAAAACCAAACAAATGCTACTTTTGGTACATCAGTGGGCTAGAGTAGAAGAGGTCACGTGACTGCAAATGCAGCCATGTGCTCCAGGAAATGCTGTGTCACTCTCTTCCAAGAGCTTTCGTTTAAGGTCTCTGGATCTTGGCCGTTGAGATGACATGGCGCCGGGGGCAGTTTGTGGGTGTGACTGCCAAGCTACTGGAAAACTGGGGAGCTGGGGGGAGGAGGCCCAGTCCCAATCCAAGCGGGCTTGGAGATCTCAGTCACGGGTCCCGCATACCTGGGTTTTTCTGCCAGTTTCCACTTGCATGAGGTCATTAGAGCATGTGGAGGGTGGCGTTGAGCATGGCAGCAGTTGGGTTCTGGAGGTTTCCAGCTACCAGGGCTCTGCTTAGGGTGGGGAGGAAAACTCAACCCCCCCCCCCCCCCCGAGGTGCTCCCGTGAAGACAGCCTGGCACAGGGGCAGGAGATTCTGCAACAGCCCAGCATTTTCCAAACCGAGAATCAAGTGTCTGTAAACCAGGCTTGGCTGGAGGGCCGGCCACCCAGCCGCCATGCTGTTGGCATCCAGGAAGCATTCGAACAAGGAACACAGGCAAAGGCGTCTTCCCTGGGCATCTGTGACACACAGCCCAGAGGGCAGGCGTGCCGTGCAGGAGGCTCTCGTGAATCCCAACAGCGTGGCCGTCTGTGTGCTTTAAACCATGTTCGAGTGTGAGCCACTGGTGGTACACACCCAAGGGCCAGCCTGAGCTCCTGGCTCCGTCCTGCGTGACTCCACAGTCCAAAATCAGGTTGAGAGCTCAGACAGGGGATTACGGGAAGGTCTGTGTCCTGTAAGATAATCCTGCTAGCCTGTTTCCCACTGTAGCTCTCGCCGAGGCTTGGACTTTGCCGCTTTTATCAGGTCGCCCTGGGCTCCCCTTGAGCCGTCGCACAGGGGGGGCACCCAAGTTGTCCTCTCTGTTCCTACCATCCCACTCGCTTTGGAGTGTTGGGGGCTCTGCCCTGGCCCCTGTCGACCTGCATGTAATCCCCTTGCTGCTAGTGCTCTGGCCAGTCTCACTGAGATGGGAAGGGGCTCCCTAGCTCTCCTCCTGAGCAGGAGGACGGGGGTCATGGCCCAGATGCTCATCAGCCCTCCCCTCCCCCGCGCCCCCACTGTCCCGCTCTCAGACCACCACCACCCCCCCGTGTCCTGTCTTCTCCCTTTGATACAGGAAGTTGGACAGTGTGTCCAGAGTCAACTAAAGCAATTCCTTGATTTTTTTTTTCTGCTCTTCCTGGTACCTCCACAAGACACATTTCCAACCGTGTTTTCTTCCCTTTTCCTCCCTAGACTGCAGGCTGCTTTGGGATTACGTCTATCAGTTGCTGTCTGACAGCCGGTACGAAAACTTCATCCGATGGGAGGACAAAGAATCCAAAATATTCCGGATAGTGGATCCCAATGGACTGGCGCGACTGTGGGGAAACCATAAGGTAAAAGGACTACAGATGTCTGCTCCGTGGACGAGGCTCGGACACCGAGTTTTTGTCCCTGGACGGGAGGGTTATGGAAGGTCATCTGCTTCCTCCATCTGCCGGTAACTGTTGAGTTGATTCCAGACAGTTACAGAGGGAAGAAATGCCGCTGCTACTCCCGGGGCCGGTTAACATGGCATGTTTGGCCTGAGGGGACTGTTGTCAGTGACCCTTGGGCCAGCCTTGCCCTGCCTGCTGGTCCCAGGGACGTGCGTCTCCCATTCTGCTCCCTTCCAAAGGCCTCCACTCACTCACCAAAGCCCATTTCTCTGTGGCAGGTGAGGACAGCTGATATTTAAACGCCCCCCTTAAAAGCAAGAGCACATGAAGTCCATGGCCCCATGGTTTCCCACACTGACAAGTGGGCATGTAAAAGTGGATAAGACATGGGTAGATGTAAAAAGTGGATAAAAAGACGCCCTCTCTGGCCGTGGCTGCTGACTCATGAATAGATAAAGAAAATCTGGCCTTGGCGCTGAAGTAATAGCACAGCGGGTAGGGTTCAATTCCCAGCATCCCATATGGTTGCCTAAGCACCGCCAAGTGTGATTCCTGAGTGCAAATCCAGGAGTAACCCCTGAGCATCACTGGATGTGACCCAAAAAGCAAAAAAGAAAGAAAGAAAATCTGGCCTTGGAATCCAGTGACATATTATTCAGCCTTTTTTTTTAAAAAGGGAAGGGAGGAGAAAGTCGGCAGTAGGACACAGTGTACATAAACCAGCATGGAGGGGGTCTATGTTAAGTAGACCAGTCCCAGAAAGGCAGATAGGGCTGATTCCACTTCTTGGAACATCTGTAAAATGGGCAGATTCAGAAGGAGGAGTTACTAATCCGTGCATGTGAAGTTCTGTTAGTTAGCAAGGTGAGTTCTGCAAGTAACATCCCTATTCAGTGCTCTTAGCCACAGGAATCTAAATGAACCCGTGTTCTACTTAAAGAGGAACTGGGTCCCTGGCGATCCAGGCTTTCGCACAGGCAGAGATGCTGGGCACTGGGCTGGCCACAGCCCTGTCCTGGTGGCCCTCGCAATGGCTGTGACCAGATAGCGCTGGGCCCCACTGATGCCGTGGGAGTCACCAAAAACTGCCCCTGCTGTTCCCAGTGCTCACACCTGCCCTGCCGTGTGGAGTCTTGAGGAGTTTAGACCCCAGAACACCCCCTTCCTTAACTGACACCCTCGGGGCCAGAGGGAGGGTGCTGTGGGTAAGGCACTTGCTTGTCTTCCACCCGTCAACTGGGGCTCAGTCCCCAGCACCACCCAGGATCACTGCCAGGAGTGATCCCTGAGCACAGAACCAGGAGCAAGCCCTGAGCACTGTTGGATGTGCCCCCCCCCAAAAAAAAAAATAAAAGAACCCTAGAAACATGGTTGAAAAACGTTAACGCAGTCCCTGGCCATGAGAAGGCGAAGGGTGACTAGCAGTGGGGCAGGGTCTGTTCTACTCCTGGGGTCCAGCACAAGCAGAAATGGAGATGTGCCGGGGCGGAGGGGGGGGGTGGCTAGGAGGAGGCTTGTGACAGGGACACAGTCCCTGGGAGGATCCTGGCAGCTGACAGCCCAGAGGGTGGACCTGGGGCACAGCTGATTGGCGGGAGTGGGAGGGATCACCTGTCCTGTCCGACTGGGAAGGGCTTTACTTGGAAGAGTTTGAAGAGCGTTCTGTGCCCTTGCTGCAATGCATTTCATTGTGTCTTTGTGCTTTATTTCCCCTCTCTCTCTTCCTCTCTCTTCCTCTCTGTCTCTCTTCTTCCTTTGAACAAACAGAACAGAACAAACATGACCTATGAGAAAATGTCCAGAGCCCTGCGCCACTACTACAAACTAAACATTATCAGGAAGGAGCCAGGACAAAGGCTTCTGTTCAGGTAGACTTCCTCGCTGCCCCGCTCCTAGGGAAGGGGAAGGGGGGTGGGGATGCTTTCTTACAGCCAGAGGGAGGGGGGAGGTGGTTGCCATCTTTTCCCCGCTGGGCTGATTGTCCGAGCCATTATCACTGCTGGTCAGATGGCAGGTGCTGGGCTGAATGGGGGAAGCCGCATTTACGCCTTCTCTTTAGTGCAGCTGGAATTAAATCAGTGCCTGGCGTTGGACTTACCTTTCACAGAATGCAAGGATCAGTTTTATCTGTTGTTCATAGTCAGTGTTGACTGAGGGAGCATCGGGGGTAATCCTGTTGGCAGTCCAGCAGGGAACGAAATTCCAGTCTCGTCAACTGCTTTCTGGGGCTGCATTGGCCAAGATGATGACCCCTTAGTGAACCATGAAATCGATTTAATGAGCCCATCACAAGGCTTTCTCGGGGAAGGGGGACAGAATTGAATGGGACAAGAGAGAGCGGAAAGTGTCAGACTGCAGCACGTGGAAATAAGTGTGTGGATTCAGGGGGGGAAACGTACTTCACGGCTGTGTTTGTGTGATGAGTCTTGATGTAGGTTGCGTTTGTTACCACGCGTTGGAATCAAGGAACTTTGGTGGCTGCTGTAGGAAGCACTCTGCAGTTCCTTGCAGCTAATTCCTCTAGCTGTTTCAGTTAATGGTTTCCAACCACTGTTCCAGTTGATGGTCTGTAGGTGTGGAAAAGGGTGAAAAGCGCTGGCTTAATCTACCTCATAGACTATGACCCCAGGAACTGTTCAGAACAGGAGGAAGATAGAAACCGATGGAGAAGGGAACTAAATGGACCTGTTAGGAAAGGGAGATGGTGGATGTTGACTCGGGTGTTTGTTGACTGGGCAGATGCTGAGAGGAGATGGTGCAGAAAGGCGTTACAGATGGGATTTGGGTAGAATTTTCTTGGAAAAGACATTGTGTCTGATGGAAAGAACGGTGAAGCTGAGTCTCCACACTGGGAAGGTGTGCCATCTTGGTTGTGGGAAGGAGGGGAAAAAAAACAGTGAAAATCTTTAGATGAAACCAAAGAGACTGTTGAGAAAAAATGCAGAGACTGTTCCAAAAGATGACATGGGGTAGGGGTGGGGGGTGGAGAGATAGCGCAGCCATTAGGGCATTTTTCCCTGCCCAAAGCTGACGGGGCTACAATCCCCAGCATCCCATATTGTCCCCCTAGCCCACCAGGAATGATTCCCGAGCTCAGAGCCCAGAGTAAGCCCTGAGTAGAGCCGGATGTGCCTCCCACCCCTCAGAGAAGAGGGTGGCATAGAAGATCGAGCTTCATCTTCTCTCACAGACACAAATTGTTGTACAGCACAGCAACATTCATTCCCGGGAGGGGCAGATCACGCGTGCATATGCCTGCACGGTCAGCTGCACCCTCGAGGTCAGTGGTGCACTCCGTGATGTCCATGCATCAAGGAAATCTTGTGATCTGTTTCCTCAGAGCAGGACCTGGTCCGTAAGGGATGCTGCATGATGGTGAGCATGCGTGGTTCCCTCCAGAGCAGAATTGAAAACGAGCTGATGTTCCCTCCACTGCAGAGGGGAGAAGTGACACCATCTCATTGGGACCGCCCCCCACAGCCAGGGGGAGCATCACAAATACAATGCTTTTGCCTGAGAAAATTTCCATGCAGACAGTAGAAAATGTTCCAGGAGAGATAGCGTAGCCATCAGGGCATAGGGTGTGGGTCAGCGCCACTTGTCAGCCCCTTCTCTGACCCACTGGGCTCACACCACCTTTGCTGTACCCCTCTGGTGTGCTAGCCCCGGAGGACACGCCCATAGCCCCACCTCTTCCTGTTCCGGGAGCCACTCACGGGCCCCCGCTGCAGCCTTGCCACGCCCCCAGGTCCCGCCCTCCACAGCCCCGGAGCACCTCGCCTGGTGCTCTCTGCTCTAGCACCTCACCCTAAAGGCCACCGGAAGGCATCTGGGCTCCCATGCACCTGGACAGAGAAGCAATTTGCCTCACTTGTGGAGGCATCCAAGAACGGTCCCAGAGATATCTGACTACTAGGATATTCGCAGAGATTTGAGACAGCCAAGAAGGAGAGCAGACTTAAGGGTCAATAATACAGGTTCATCTCCTACACAAGACCAGTCCATTACGATGGGGAGAGCTGTTTTATTCAATATAGAAACAGAGCCAAGCAAAGAAAGAGGCAAAGGAATTTTTTTTTTCAAATGAAAGGAGGAAATAAAACCCTAGGAACAAAAATCAAAAGGAAATGAAGATAAACACCCAATGAAGATAACAGAGTAATGACTAACCAAACTTGGAAGAAAAGTGAACAGAAACAGCAACATCAACAACGAGAGAGAAAAGTGTAAGAAAGTGCCAAGCAGAAACTGCAGAACTGACTGAAAAGTCCAGTACAGGGAGTGAATGGAAGGCCAGAAAGGTGAGGAAGGAATTGGTGACTGGAAGGTAAGGCAGTGAAAATCACCCTGCCAGAACACCAGAAAGAAAAGGAATTCTTAAAAAAGAAGAAAACTAAGGAACTGGAGAGATAATATAACTGGTAGGGTTATATTATCTGCCTTGCGTACAGCTTCCATCTCCGGCATCCTATAGAGTCCCCCAAACCCGATCAGGAGTGATTCCGGAGATCAGAGACACAAGTAATCCCTAAGTATTGCCAGGTATAGCCCAAAACTTTTTAGAAGAAGAAAACTTAGCAGCCTTTGGAACAACATCAGTGGAATGACGTTTGTATGGTGATGTATAAGGGTTCCAAAGAAGAAAAAAAAAAAAGGTTGGATAGTTAGCTCAAAAGGACAAATGCAAGCTTTTCAAGATGGGAGCCTAGAGCAATGCCAGGAGTGATCCCTGGGCACAGTAGCCCATCAGGGGTAGCTCCAACCACCACCAAGTGTGCCCTTCCTCAAAACAAAGAGAGAAAGAAAGCAACAGAAGCTTAGTGGAAGAAATAATGACTGAAACCTCCTTATCTCAGGAAAGATACTCAGTCTGGATTCAAGAGTTCCAAATAAGAGAAACCCAAAGAAACCCACACCAAGACTTAACTATGATTAAAATGCCAGAAGCACAAGGTAAAGGGAAAAATAAGGAGGCCCCTTCCACTCCCCCAGGACTGTTGGCATATTATTCTGCAGACCTGAAAGGAATAACTTGATGCAAAATGCAGAAAGGAAAAAGCTTCCAACCAAGAATATGCCACCCAGCAAGGTATGTCCCGAAAGAAGGAAAGACCAAAAGACAAAAGCTGAGGCAGTTTATTGCCACAGCTTGGCAGTACAAGCTGCACTAATGAGACTTCTTTAGGCTGAATATCATTGGCACTAATGAGTAGCAAGACAATCAACATGGAAACAGTTGAGGCAACATGCATGAAAGGAAAAATTGCTCCATAAAGGAAACTTTATAGAAAAGGCAGTGGATTAAGCATTTTAAAAGCTCATATAAAGTTCAAGGCAAAAGCAGTAAACATGACTATAGCTGTAATTACTTAAGAGATACATAAACAAAAGACATAGGGTAAGGGGCCAGAGCAGTTAGGGTGCTTGCCTTGCACATGGCCAACCATTCAATCCCTAGCATCCCATCCCTGAGCACTGCCAGGAGTAATTCCTGAGTGCACAGCCTGGAGTAACCTCTCAGCATTTCCTGGCTTGCTCACCCCCCAAAAATAGATGCAGGTTCTTAGAATGTGTTTGAACTTGCTATCCACTTAATTTGTTACATAGGGCTGGAGAGGTAGTACAGCAGGTAAGGGCCTTGCTTGCATGCAGCTGACTTGGGTTCTCTCCCTGAGCACCACCAGGAATGGTCCCTGAACACAGAGCCAGGAATAAACTTTTAGCACTGCTGGGTGTAGCCCCCAAACAAACAAAAATGATTTATAGCAATTGTCCTCCCATTGTTCATCTGCTCGATGCGGACCCAGTAACGTCCCCATTGTGAGACTTCTTGTTACTGTGTTTGGCATATTGAATACTCTCTCAATAAAATATAAATGCTAATATAAAATGTTGGGCTGGAGCGATAGCACAGCAGGTAGGGTGTTTACCTTGCATGAGGCTGACCCGGGTTTGATTCCTTCGTCCCTCTCGGAGAACCCAGCAAGCTACCGAGAGTATCTCGCCCGCATGGCAGAGCCTGGCAAGCTCCCCGTGGCATATTCCATATGCCAAACACAGTAACAACAAAGTCTCACAATGGAGACTTTACTGGTTTCTGCTCCAGCAAATCCATTAACAACGGGATGACAGTGCTACAGTGCTACAGTATAAAATGTTACATTGTAAAAAACACTCGCTTCTTAAACTGTGGGTCACAACTAGCTGAATCTGGGGGCTGTGAAAGATGTGGCCACAGAGAGAGGTCTCCAGATGTGCCACACCTACAGGCAGTTCCCAGTCATCCAAGTAATCAGTTCCAGTGTTTCTGAGAGTGCTTGCGCAGGTGGAGAATAGGGGTCACAACTAGAAAAAAGAAGCCCCCACATTTTCAGAGTATTATATGTGAGCCCTGTAGTAACTAGAGTTATCTATTATAGTAGTAATAATAGTAGTAATCTATTATAGATACAAAAAATGGTATCAAGAAGGGAAAGCATAGCAATATAAAAAGTTATTAAACTACCAGGGAAGAACAGGAGGGAAAAAGTCGTAGAGAACAATAAATAAATGGTACTAAGTGTGTGCACATCCTTAAGAGCTAAGTTTTTTAATTCAGAGACTCAGTTCTTAAATTCAGAGACATGGAGTTGGATTCAGTGGCAGAATGGATTAAAAAAATAAATGCCAGGGGCTGGAGCGATAGCACAGCGGGTAGGGCGTTTGCCTTGCACGCGGCCGACCCGGGTTCGATTCTCAGCATCCCATATGGAACCCTGAGCACTACCAGGGTTAATTCCTGAGTGCAGAACCAGGAGTAACCCCTGTGCATTGCTGGGTGTGACCCAAAAAAACAAAAATAAATAAATAAATGTCATCTCTATGTGCCTACAAGAGACTCACCTCTGAATGAGAAGAGATGGGAAAAGATGCTTCCTACAGCCGAAAACCAAAAGAAATCAGGGAGAGCTACACTTCCATCCGAAGAAATGTAAGCGCAGCAGGAGAAATAGTTGCCAAGGGTGGATGTTACATAATGCGTAGGTAATCAATCCAACAAGAGCTAGAACACAAATGTTGACAAATAAAAGGAAAAGCTAAAAGCAATTCTATAATATTAGGAGGCTTTCATATCCTGCTTACATCAATGAACAGATTATCTCGATAAAAAAAAATCAATAGGGAAACGGTGACTTTAAGCAACATATTAAGCCAGATGCTTAATGGATACTCACAAACATCCCATGCAAAAGCAACAGAATTCACATGTATCTCATAGACACAGGACATTCTTCAGGGTCTATTGTGTATTACGCCACAAAAGTGCTCTCAACACGTTTAAGACGGTTTAAATTACATTATGCACATTTTCCAACTACAGTAATACAAAACTACAGTGATACAATACAACTACTACAGAAAAGTGGAGGTTTTTCTTTTAAAAATGTGGTAGGAAATCACGAATACCTTGAAAGTGATATTTGTAATAACACAGACCTACCTCAAGAAACTGGAAAAATCTAAACTTACACTTAAAGGAATTATGAAAAGAAAAGCCAGAGTTTGAAGGAGGAAGAGAATAAATAAATGAAACATTTAAATATAGTAGAAAAGAAAAATTAAAATAGTTGACTCTTAGATATCATGAAGCTGACAAATCTTTAGCTAGACTCACCATGAAAAAGAGAGGGCTCAAATAAATCTGAAATGAAAAAGAAGTAATAACTGACACCAAAAATGCTTAGAAACATAAGAGATGACCATGAACGATTATTTGCCAACAAGTTGGATAACTTGAAGAAATGGATAAATATACAAACACATATCATTACCTAAGACTGACTTATGACCAGATCATTAATCAGAAGTCCCCCAACAAGCTAAAGTCCAAGACCAGACCACTTCACTGCCATTTAAAGAATTCAAATAGTCAAAGATCTAAGCCCTATTTTTCTCGAATTCTTCCAGAGTATCGAAGAGGAAGGTACAATGTCTCTGGTGAACATACATGCAAAACCCTTTACAAACTATGAGAAAACTGAATTAAGTGGCATATAAAAGTGATCAAGTAGGATGTAGCCCAGGTATGCACAGATGGTTCAATATCCACAAAATGATAAAGCTGACAGCCCACAATTAACAAAATAAACTTTAAAAATTATATGTGATAGCAGTCGATTCAGTAAAAGCATTGGACAAAGTTAGTTTAGTTTATGATTAGAAAAAAAGTAAACTCTCAAATGGAGTATGGAAAGAAAGCAATTCAATCTAATAAAGGCCAGATGTGACAAGATCATAGCAAACATCATGTCAACGACGAAAAACTAAAACCTCTTCCTCTAAGATAGGGAACAATACAAGAGCACCCGCCCTCCCACTTCTATTCAGCATAGTACTAGAAATTCTAGCCAGAGCAGTTAGGCAAAGCAAAGAAAGAAAAGGCATCTAAAGTGGAGAGGAATAGTAAAGCTGTCATACCAACAATGAACAATTCAGAGGAGGAATGAAAACAATCCCACTTATTATTTGCACAAAAAATTAAAAAGAACGATTTGCCTAGGAATGAGTTTAAACAAGGAATAAATGTAACCAGAGAAGAGAATAAGAAACTATATGTGACTGACCAGATAATTTGTGAGAGAAAAAGATGCAGTGGGAAAAAGGAGAACTTCGTCAATAAATAGTGTTTGGAGAATTAAACCAGTTAACCATATGCAAAAAATAATTCAAAAAGAACTTGAATGTAACACCTGAACAGGCAGAAGACTCCTTAACATCAGTCTTTGTCATGATTTGTTTAGATCTGCTTCCAACTCCAAGGCCAGTAGAGACAGCCAAAAAAATGGAAATACATCAAACTAAAAATCTCTATAGCAATGGCAACTACCAATAAAACAGAAAGGCAGCCTATTGAAGTGGAGAAGATATTTGCAAATCAGATACCTGATAAAGGAGTTAATAGTCCAGATATGTAAAGAAATCATGCAACTCGTTAACAACCTGATTAAAAATGGGCCATGAACCTAAAATAGACAGATGTCCAAAGAAGACACCCAGATAGCCAATGGACATGTGAAAATACTCATCAGGATAATTCCGACCAAATCACAATGACAAAGCACCTCAACCCTGCCGGAGTAGCTGCCGTCACTAGGACAGGCAATGAACTGCAGGTGAGGATGCAGACAATGGAAGTATAAAAGGGTTTCGCCAATGGGGACAACAACACACAGGTTCCTCAATAAGTTGAAAAAAATCAGGGGTACCAGGGCTAGAGCGATAGCACAGTGGGTAGGGTGTTTGCCTTGCATGCAGCCAACACAGGTTCGATTCCCAGCATCCTGAGCACTGCCAGGAGTAATTCCTGAGTGCATGAGCCAGGAGTAACCCCTGTGCAACGCCGGGTATGACCCAAAAAGAAAAGGGGAAAAAAAAAAATCAGGAGTACCATATGATCCAGCAGTTCTGCTTCTGGGTACTTGACCAAAGAGAATGGAAACAAATGCAGAAGTTTAACGCACCACTATTTTCATCAGAGAACTATTGCTGAACCCCCCAAAGTAAACCCTGAACACCGCCGGGTGTGAACTAATAAATAAAACTGGAAAACGGGGTGTGGATCACAGAAGCTTAGGAGGAAAATGGGAGAAGAAAGGAGTGATTTGGATCCAGAGTACATGGATACCAGCAGGGACAAGAGCAGAAGCTGTAGTGGACGCTGCTGTCTCCTTACAACACAAAAGGAATGCTGCGAGTGAAGGGTGACTGTCATTTTTAAGGACCCAAGTATTGGAAGGCGGGCTTTCCCAAAAATGAGGAATTCTTGAGCAAAAGTACAGTGGGTAGAGCACTTGCCTTGCATGCGGCCCACCTCAGTTTGCTCTTGGACATCCCAGATAGTTCCCCAAGCCTGCCAGGAGTGATTCCTGAGCACAGAGCCAGCAGTTAAGTCCTGAGCACTGCCAGGCGTGCCCCCACAACGCAAAATAATACAGATTTTTTTAATTGTTGTTTTCTTAACGAGAGATTCTGGGTATGCCACCCAGTGGGTCATGAAGTGGAGTGATGAAATGGTGAGAGTGCTGCAGAATTGTGGTGTCAGAGGAAGAGTTCAGTGTTGTGTGACGCCTCTCGCTGTTCTTTGGTGGCCGGGCACAGCAGGAGAAAGGAGTGTTCCAGATAAGAGCGAAGCCACGGGTGTGCATGAGCTGCGTCATGGCTGTTGCACAAAAAAGGGGCTGCCAGGCTGGAGTGGGCGTTGATGCTAAAAAGAATGGAAACGTTTCCTAGAGAGAGGATGGAGAAGCCCAGTGGGCAGGCCAACGGCTGGTGTTTACACTGATAATCAGTCATCACTAGAGTGAGGAGAGAAATGACTGTTACCTGTGGAGGGGGGGGTTGTGTTTGTTTTTGAGTCACACCCGGCGGGCTACTGCTTGTAGGTAGTTGGGTTCCCTTTTGGTGGTGCTCCAGGGACCCTGTGATGTCAGGGATCAGATCTCTGACTCCTGTATGTGCTGCGGCCTTCTGAGCCCTCTCCCCAGCCTGGAAATACATGCCAAGTCCCTGGTCCAGGGCAGAATGTGTGGAAAGGAAAGGACCCTCACATCAGGGGGTAAAATTCTGTTCTGCACCCAGGCGACCTCACAGTGGGGAATCTGGGACTGAGCCATGGGGAGTCGTGTGAAAACCCAAAGAAGAGACGATCAGGCTTGCCCTCCGACTTGGCACGGAGGAAGGGCCACTTGCTAGCATCCGGGTGCATCAGTGATAACTCTGAAAAAGTCATTCTGCCTTTCGCAGTTCCAGAAACATCACTGACTCGCCCTAGTCTCCAAACTCCTCACCCAGCGTTCATTGGCCCCCTTTGGGTCCCATTTGGATCTCGAAAGCCTATGGATTCTGGGCCTGGGAGGAAAGTTGCATCTATAGCTCTCCTGGGACTTTAAATAAATAAATAAATATGCCTCTAAAAATAAGGCTTCCCTCCTCTGATCCCACGGAGATGCTGGCACAGCATGCCCTGGGCATCGGGACTTTGTAGTAGTTATGGCACCATTTTTCATGCATCTTTTTCTAACCTAGCTGGGTCGGGAGCTTTGCAGCTCTCTGAGCTCTGAGCCTACAGGCCTATCTTTGGGGGGGTCAGGGATGAGGCGGGGGAACAGTCTTAGAAATTTGGAGGCTGGGGAGATAGCACAATAGGGAGGACGTTTGCCTTACAGGTGGCCAACCCGGGTTCAATCCCCAATATCCCATAGGGTTCCCCTGAGCACCGCCAGGAGTAATTCCCAAGTGCAGAGCCAGAAGTAGTCCCTGAGCATTACCGGGTGTGACCCCAAAAAGCCAAAATTTAAAAAAAAGAAATTTATAAAGACGGTGACCTCTCTTTCCTCTGGTGAAGGTTCATGAAAACCCCGGATGAGATCATGAGTGGCCGGACCGACCGCTTAGAGCATCTGGAGTCTCAGGAGCTGGACGAACAGATTTACCAGGAGGATGAGTGCTGAGAAACCCACCCAGCACCTCCCGGGATCGCTGGCCGCGGGCCCAAATGGCAGCAGGCAGGCTGAGGAGAGGAGAAGAAGCCACACTTACCTTGCATCCCAGGAGGGACCCCAGAGCACCTTAAGACAAACCCCCTGACCCTGCTGAGGCGCCGCGCGGAGGGCAAGAGCCTGGGACTCGCACTGGCCGGTTCCTTGTCACCTGGAATCTCACCCTGGTCACTTCTCCGCCCCCACCCCTCCCGCCTGTCTTTAGTTTCAAGGTGGTTTTTTGGTTTGTTTTTTGTTTTTTGTTTTTTTTTTTAGTTTTTTTTTTCTTTTTTTTTTTTTCAAGAAAAAAGTTTGACTTTTAAACGTTCATGTAGGGGAAGACATCCCAGGTTGTTTTCCTATGGAAATATATACCTATTATATATATATATATATATATAAATATATCTCTATTTTTTGCAAATCTTAAACAGTACAGCAAGCCCAGCTGGTCAGGAAAGGGAGTTAGAGTTCAGGTGCCTCTTATCCGGTCACCATTACTGTTGGGGTCTTGGCCCAGAGGAAAGGGGTGGGGGGAGAATTGGGGGGTGGGGGGAAGATGATTCTTTTTAAAAAGTGACCTGAAGTGCAGTCTCTCTCTCTCTCTCTCTCTCTCTCTCTCTCTCCTCTCACTTCCTTCTTCCCTCCCCACCTTGCCCCCCCCCCACAGCACAGTTCAGTGGTTTTGGGCAGGGCTCAGCCCCTAGAATGTAGCAGGAGGTATTGTGGCTGGCTCGGCAGAAAACAAGCCCTGAACCAGGCTGGGGCTACCCTGGGGCAGGACAGAGCTACTCATTGGCCCCGATGCCAGGAGCACTGTGGGCTGGGCAGAGAAGGCACACGCCAGCGTCCCTGGGTTGGCTTGAAAACACTGCTGAGTGAGAAAGACCAGAAGGCCGTGCAGGGCTATGATCTAGGACCTGGTGAGAACCCGACCGAGGAAGGACTAATGTCCCCAGAGCAGGGCGGGGGGTTGCTGGGGGAGGGGGCGGTGTCTGGCCAACTCTTGTCATCTGTGTCCTGTGACCTTGTAACTTTGAGAGTCGGGGTAGGGGGCCCCAGAGTCCAGCGTGGGCTGCTCAGCCTGGCAGACAGGAAACTGGTCCCCACGTGGCATTTTCTCTCCTTTCATGGCTTCCTCAGAATAAACTCATTTGGGGCTTTTTCTACCACAAGAGAAGCCCCATCTTTGCCCATAAGGAAAACGCCACCCTCTCAACTTTTGGGTATTAAAAAAAATTTTTTTTTCTGCCTTTTCTCACCATCTAAACGGTCTTTTCCAAGTCTGCATTCTGAATTCAGGCTGAGGAGTGTTGAATCCAGATTGGGCCTGCCTTGTAGGGCACTCCCTCGCCCGTGTTCTCTCTTTTTCTGCTATTCTCTGAGCACCAGCAGACACACATACACACAGAGAATGAATGTGCATGCCGCCGGATTTTGGGAGGATGCCACCCGCACCCAAAAGCTTCTGAGCAAAGCCAGGCACACAGAAGTTGGGGGCCCAGGGAGAGAGATACAATGAGAAAAGGAGAACCTCATCAATAGTGTTATTTAGTACTGAAAGTGGTGGGAGGGCAGGCAGGTACTTATCCTCGTCCTGGCAGGATGTGGAGCGCTCAGTCACCAGAACTGCTCTGGGTGATGCCATTGGGACCCGACAGGTCGCAGATACTCTGAGAGAGAGGCACACCGTGAGACGGGGGGCATTAGAGAGGCCAACCCAGAGCTTGGAGGAGTTCTGAAAGCCAAAGTCTGCCTTCTTTCTGCAGCCAGACTTTCTCCCCTGTGGGTCGGATGGCTCTTTCTGGCCTGTCGGTCGACCCAGAGGAGGACTCAGGGGCTCTTCCGAGACTCACTGCTGATCAGGGAGGGGGATCCCTTTGGCCCCCCGGGCACTTCTGTAGAGCTGTTCTGTGCTTGGGAGGCTGAGACACTGGGTCATGCAGAAGGCACGGCCATTGATGCTACCCTCCCACTCAAAGGCCCCCAGGGCTGATGGCAGTACAGTTTCGGCCAGGCACAGGCGGAGAGGAATGGGCAGGGATTTCTCACCTCAGCACCAAGTGCTGGGGGTGGGACCAGCCCCCAGACCCGGTGATGGCTTGTAGAGTGGGTTATTCCCCAGCTGCCATGCTGGAAACTCTGGGCTTCTCCCGAGCAGAGTGGGGAAGGGGAGATGCTGGGTGGCGGACTGGGAGCGACTCCCTCCAGTGTTGTGAGCTCTCCCTGAGCCTGGGAATGCCCCAAAGCATCTCTCCCCACACAGAGGCTGCCCTGAGTGACACTTGGTCTGCTCTGGGCACCTGATGCCTTCCCTAAGACTTTCTGGCCTAGGACAACTTGATCTTGCCTGAAAGGGCATCTCTGAGGTTGCTAGTTCTCTCGGGAGTGTGGAGAGTCGCCTTGAGGGAAAAAAGGGAATAACAGGCTAACAGATTTTTTCCTCTCAAACCACATTTTTGGTACCTTCTGATGCAAGGGTTTGGGTTTTGGGTGTTTTTTTTTGGGGGGGGGGGGGGGCTGGGGTGTTTTTTCCACACAGATCCTCTGTCTAAAGGGATAAAGTGGCCTGAAATACACGTGGCTATGGGCTGATGTCCCCCAGCCCCTCCTCTCTCCCTGCTCTGGGCTCAGTGCTGAATATATTTTTGCAACATTAACTTGTTCTTGCGGAAGGAAACCAAAGCCTAGTTATCAGCGAGATCTCAGGACTTAACAGAGGAGGCGGCGGTGGTGGCGTTCAGTGCCGGGGCAGACTTAGAGTTGGTGGCCAGCCCAGCCAGCCCCCTCTCCCCACCCCACCCTCACCCCTACCCCCGTTTGACCTTTCTCACCCAGGAAGCAGAAGGGGGGAAGATGGAGGGAAAGACCAGGAGCAAAGCGTAATTTTCTTTACCCAACGGTTGTGAACTCACCGGGCTGCTTTCCCAAGAAGATAGCTGGAGGGAGACAAGGCAGGGAGCAAGGTAGTAGGGCACCCCGGAACCCCAGCCCCCGAAAGCACGAGAGCCTGGCGCGTTGCTCTGGGCCCATCCGCATCGACACTGAAGAGCTGCAAGCTCCCTGATTCTCGCTCACATGCCAAGCGGTTCTTGAAGATTCCTCTCTGGGACTCCCGATTATCTGCACGCCAGAACGAATCCTACAATTCAATTTCTTTTTTTTTGTTTTGTTTTGTTTTTTTTTCTTGGGGAGGGTTCATTTCTAATCTCGTTGTTTATGAGGTGTGGGGTTTATAAGGGACTGAATCAAATGAATGTAACAAAAAAAAAAAGGAAAAAAAAAACAAAAAAAAGCCTTTTCTCAGGGCCAGTGAGTTGAAAATAATTTTTAAAAGAAAAGCCTATAATTACTTCATCTCAATAAATTTTTATATGAAATAAAGGTCTCAAGTCTCTTTAATCCCAGAGAGTGAGACAGGCACGGGAGATTTAGGAAGTCAATCTAGGATGTGCTCAGTTATGGTAAAATTATAAGTGCGGTCACTTTCCCATGGCAGAACGCCCCCGGTCACCACACGTGCTGCTGGCAACCTTTAGACATGTGGCCCTGAAAGGTCAGCACAGTCAACTCAGATCCCAGCAGCTGTCCTGGCTGGGGAAGTTTACAGAAGGAGACAGATCGGAGATGCTGGGTCCTGTGCTGTGCCAAAGGTTTCTGGGCCACCGAGGACTGGGAAGTGATACCAAGAACAAAGGCTCAGAAAGATTCGACAGAGAGCAAGGTGCATGGCGGCCCAAGTTCTATTCCCGGCCCCATCTCTGACTCCTGGAGCATGGCCAGGAGTGATCCCTGAGCACCACCATGTGTGGTCGCAGAACTAACAATGAAGGGATGCCAAGAATGGGAAGGGGCTATAGCAGAGCAAGTCAGGTGTTTCCCTTGCACACGGCCCACCCGGGTTCAATCCTCGGCAGCCCATATAGTGCCCTGAGCACCGCCAGGGGTGATACCTGAGTGCAGAGCGAGTCAACCCTGAGCATCACTGGATATGGCCCAAAAGAAAAAAAAGGGGGGGAGGGGCAAAGAGGCAGACCTTAGGTTCTTTAGATTCTCTCGGCAAAGAGCTCCTAGATTCTACTTGAGGGTGTGGGTCTGAGCATACAGGCAGGGCAGAGCCCCTGACCCCCCACCCTACCCCCCCCACACACACACACCCCTTCCCCAGGACTAGAAAGACACAGAGAATCAAACTCATTCTCAGATGTCACACTGGCCGGAAGAGCCAACAAGGAAGCTTTCAGGATTCCAACAGCAAACTTACACACGGCCAGAACAGTCCTAAAGCAAAGCACATGGCTTAGCAGCAGTTTCGATTATAAACTGGGGAAACAGAAGTCTGAAAGAAAATCATCTCAGACTGTCGGCAGGTTATCTCTGTGTCGGGCCCGCCACCTGCACTCCCTCCTGGGACTGTGGCTGGCTGGAATTGGGCCCGAGCTTCTCACTCATCAGAGAGCATCATCAAAGAACAAGCAAGGACCTTGGATGTTTCCTGTGAGGCTCAGAATGCGGCACGAGCTCTCATTTCTGTAACCCAGCTTCCGCATTAGTTAGGAATTAGAAATGCAATTTGTTCATCCCTACCCCATAAATACTCAGTCCCAGACTCAGCCATCTGTTTGAACAAACCCTGCAGTTGATTCTCGTCCATGCCAACGTTTGAAAGTCACTATGACCGTCCGTGCATCATACTCTGAGAAAGTAGACGCCCATTTCAACAGTTAGTACAGAGAATTTGCATTAGTAATCAGACAACAATGTGGCATTTTCTCCCAACACTAGATGTCCTATGGAATGAGGCTAAATGGACACAGGATCACATGCCAAATCCTGATTCCACCAGCCCCTTCAAGCAGCCAATTTGCTAGAAAGATGAAAACTCTTTAACAGCTGACCTGCCTTTGCAAATTAGGGCTAAGCAATTTATCCACTTACCACCACTGGTCTGCTGCACTGGCCTCATCTCTACAGCAGAAGATCTTGGTCATTTACTAGTTAGCCTTGGCTCTCACTCCCTGGACTGTGGGGTGGAGCCCCACAGATATCCACTTAGTCTTTTTCAGGGGACCCCTAAATCACAAGTCTAAACCTGCAAGTACTTGTAAGTCACCTGGGGATTTTGGATGGGAAAAACACTCGCACACATGCGCTCACTCACACACACACACACACACACACACACACACACACACACACACACCACTGCTCTAAACAAGCTGGGT